GGTGTCACGAGAATTCAAGGGAATTCGCGAGCCAGGGAGAGATGTAGCCAATCTAGGGGATGAGGGGGTGAGGGCAGTCACTTGACATGCGTGAAAGCTGGAATGTGTGAGTTACTTCATAGCGTCTCGTCACGTCATAGTAGCGGGCAGCGTACATACATTTCGCGCCTACCGTATCAAAAAATGCGGTTTGCTTATCTCACTTGTACTGCACAGAATAGAAGTTAACTAGAACTTATGGAGGAATGAAGCCGCCAGCAGCCATAACTTTGAAGGACTCCTTGAGCAAATTGGCATTAGAGCAGATCATGCACAGCTATGACCCTTTTTTTCAGACAAAATAGACTTGAAGAAAAGACGTAGTCACGGAAGTAATAACATCGTACGGCTTCAAAAAAGTCACTGAACAAGAGTAAAAGTACCGTAGCCTTCTCGAACAATTGTGCCAAGTTCGAGTCCTCACTGGAGTAGACCCAAATATCATATCATTGATAATCGCCGAGCATTTCGCATCCTGCTCTTATTCTCCTTTTTTGCCATTCCCCGCTATAGTTCGAAAAGGTTGAAAGCAATGCAGCAGCTGATTACGTAACCTCAGCCATTTAGAAAGTCGATATTCGCGTAATGGATATTTTCTTTGTCAACTATTAGGTTGGAAAGAAAGTCCTGCAACACTTTTTCAAATTTTTGATTTTAATTTTATCTTTTTTGTTTACAACTCCTGACCGGTCATATATCTACCATGAGTGTCCACCACTTGTCTTCAACGCTCAGAAAATTTCTTGATGCTCCTTTGCCAAAACCCAGCGGAGTGCGGGTCGAGAAAGGAGGCGACCTCACTTTCGAGTTGGAGTTGATCGTCTAATTATTTCGTCATCAAGATGATGATTTAAGGTCCAGGATAGGTGGCAGTCATTTATAGCTCGACCAGGGGAATACGCTAAGAGAGGTAAGAAATCTTGCCGCAGCTCCAGAATTTCTTACCGGGCTCATTTCGGATCATGGTGATTCGCAATGTCATGAAAGAAATAAATATTGTCGCGGTACGAGGGCTCCTGACGAGCTGCCTCGGCCAGCTTCTGGAGTTCCGCAGCCTAGACCTCTACCTACACAATGGTGCCCATAACGAAGAATTTGTAGTGGAGCTTCCGTAAGAGCCCTACCTGTAATGGAGTGTGAGGGACGCTGCTGGCTTCTTATAAAAATATCAAAAGATCGAAAGCGCTGGTAAAGGTGAAACACGCTGTAGCGGTGAACGGCATGCCTATTGAAGCTATTGCATTGCGGATAGTGTCGGTCGTTGCACGAATCCATAGTTTGGAGACATTTGTACTAGACAGTGACTCAGAGTATGGATTTACAAGTGGTCGGGGGTCTTTTGATTTCTTAGGATAACAAAAACTGATTGAGCAAAATGCTCTACATTTGTTAGTCATTAAATGTACCATGATTTTCAGAATAGAAAGAAATTTTGAAAAAAAGGAGGTGTTGCAGAACTTTTCTTTCAACAATTATTTCTACTTTTTAGTTTGGCAGTGCGAGGCGATTCTTCTTTGACTTCGTGCGCCAGCTATCCGATTGGGTGCAGAACAATCATGCTCTGAAGGTGAGGCATTCGTCATAGGTGGATCAACTTTTGAGGCTCAGATTTCTTTTCCAGGAAAACTCAATAATTCCTGTCAATTACCAAGTCTTCTTCATGCAAAGTTTGGATGAATGATGACCTGGCGAGGATCGAAATGCTGATTTAATATTCCACTATCAGCAGGTGACTTGAATTAATTCCTCCCATCTTCCGAGACTTCAGAAGATTACGCAAGATGAATAGTTCAAACTAATCCACGCACTATTAGAATTGCACCGTTTAGGAATGCCCCAAATATCTGCTCGGCTACCACAAAGTATCGAAGCAGGAAGCTATTGAAGTGGCTGCTATTATCCTTCGAGCCATAACAAAAGATTCCAAGGTACGTGGTGAATGCTCTTTCTATGGTCATGTTGAGGTAAAAGGCGAATTCTTGTTTAGAATGCTCCACTAGCGCAAATTCCGCAACTGCTGAGCGAGCTGGTGCCCTCGGATATCATGAAGATGACGTCGACGAGCGAGTGGAAAAAGGTCGGTTTCGAGCCATTCACACCCATGTTCTCCAACAAGCAAGGTTGCTTTCGAAGTTGCAATAAGCTTCGAGATCCAAAAAATTCCCATAATCCTAGTAACGTCCACAACAACACAAAAAAGAAACGAGGCCCATAATAATACAAAATCAACTCGCCATTTTCAAACTGCTTCTAAGGCAATTGCCGCAGTTGTTCATCATCAGTCTGATCATAGCCGCTCGTCATCCAAGTGTTCTCCCGCTGTTCCGAGAGTTCCAGTAGATATAATTCCCCCTGACTGTCGATAGTTGACTGTGTACAGAACTCTCCAAGTTCTAAAAATTCCTCCCCAACTTTCCCGTATATCAGGAAGCACCAAACGCGGCTCTTTCCTACGGCGCATTGGATGTATGTAGCTGTCACTGCGCGCTGTTATACATCACAATGATTTCCCTACTTAGGGCAGCAGAGCATAAACATTGAGGATAAGGATTCGACCCGCTGAACGTGAATAGAGTATCAATACCTCCTCATGATCATTGCTCTCATTGGGTTCACGATCAGCAGTATACTTAGCACCAATGTTGTCACAACCAGCTTGCATTCTCTCGGAACCCGGTGTTACCCTGTTAGCGAGATACGATATTACATAGAATACTGCGATCAGTTATCACAATTGCCCGGAAAGCAAG